ATCCGTGACGGTCGTCCAGGGCACAGCAGGCATGGCATATTCTCGACACCATCCGTGCGGTCGTCCAGGGCACAGCAGGCATGGCATATTCTCGACAGGGGGTGCGTCTCTCACCGCGGCCGCTATCCGTGACGGTCGTCCAGGGCACAGCAGGCATGGCATATTCTCGACACCATAGGGGGTGCGCAGGGGGTGGTCTCTCACCGCGGCCGCTATCCGTGACGGTCGTCCAGGGCACAGCAGGCATGGCATATTCTCGACACCATAGGGGGTGCGCAGGGGGTGGTCTCTCACCGCGGCCGCTATCCGTGACGGTCGCCCAGGGCACAGCAGGCATGGCATATTCTCGACACCATAGGGGGTGCGCAGGGGGTGGCGGCCGTCCGTGACAGTCGTCCAGGCACAGCGGCCATGGCATATGGTCTCGTGATCCGTGACGGTCGTCCAGGGCACAGCAGGCATGGCATATTCTCGACACCATAGGGGTGCGCAGGGGGTGGTCTTCACCGCGGCCGCTATCCGTGACGGTCGTCCAGGGCACAGCAGGCATGGCATATTCTCGACACCATAGGGGGTGCGCAGGGGGTGGTCTCTCACCGCGGCCGCTATCCGTGACGGTCGTCCAGGGCACAGCAGGCATGGCATATTCTCGACAGGGGGTGCGCAGGGGGTCCCGCGGCCGCTATCCGTGACGGTCGTCAGGGCACAGCAGGCATGGCATTTCTCGACACCATCGCAGGGGGGTCTCTCACCGCGGCCGCATCCGGGACGGTCGTCAGGGCACAGCAGGCATGGCATATTCTCGACACCATAAGGGGGTGCGCAGGGGGTGGTCTCTCACCGCGGCCGCTATCCGTGACGGTCGTCCAGGGCACAGCAGGCATGGCATAGTCTCGACACCATAGGGGGTGCGCAGGGGGTGGTCTCTCACCGCGGCCGCTATTCCGTGGCGGTCGTCCAGGGCACAGCAGGCATGGCATATTCTCGACACCAGAGGGGGTGCGCAGGGGGTGGTCTCTCACCGCGGCCGCTATCCGTGACGGTCGTCCAGGACACAGCGGTATCGGCGGGACAGCGGCCACCAACATCATTCTCACATGCTTCATTTCAGCTCTCATCACTTCCTCCATAATAAAAGGCATGTGGGGTTCATCGGTAGCGTAATTTTCTTCCCTGCCGCGGCGCGCCCGCGTCTCCTCACCTCCCCCCTCTCTCCTTCTTACACAGCACAGCACAGCACAGCACAGCACAGCACACGCACAGCACACGCACAGCACACGCACAGCACACGCACAGCAGCGTAGGGGGTGCGTAGGGGCTGGTCTCTCACCGCGGCCGCTATCCGTGACGGTCGTCCAGGGCACAGCAGGCATGGCATATTCTCGACACCATAGGGGTGCGCAGGGGGTGGTCACCGCGGCCGCTATCCGTGACGGTCGTCCAGGGCACAGCAGGCATGGCATATTCTCGACAGCGTAGGGGGTGCGCAGTGGGGTGGTCTCTCACCGCGGCCGCTATCCGTGACGGTCGTCCAGGGCACAGCAGGCATGGCATATTCTCGACACCATAGGGGGTGCGCAGGGGGTGGTCTCTCACCGCGGCCGCTATCCGTGACGGTCGTCCAGGGCACAGCAGGCATGGCATATTCTCGACAGCGTAGGGGGTGCGCAAGGGGTGGTCTCTTACCGCGGCCGCTATCCGTGACGGTCGTCCAGGGCACAGCAGGCATGGCATATTCTCGACACCATAGGGGGTGCGCAGGGGTGGTCTCTCACCGCGGCCGCTATCCGTGACGGTCGTCCAGGGCACAGCAGGCATGGCATATTCTCGACACCATAGGGGGTGCGCAGGGGGTGGTCTCTCACCGCGGCCGCTATCCGTGACGGTCGTCCAGGGCACAGCAGGCATGGCATATTCTCGACACCATAGGGGGTGCGCAGGGGGTGGTCTCTCCCGCGGGCCGCTATCCGTGACGGTCGTCCATGGCACAGCAGGCATGGCATAGGGGGGTGCGCAGGGGGTGGTCACCGCGTAGTCAGGTCCAGCAGGCATGGCATATTCTCGACACCATAGGGGGTGCGCAGGGGGTGGTCTCTCACCGCGGCCGCTATTCCGTGAGGCGCGGCCGTGCAGGCACAGCAGGCATGGGGCACGCAGTCGAGGGCACAGCAGGCATGGCATATTCTCGACACCATAGGGGGTGCGCAGGGGGTGGTCTCTCACCGCGGCCGCTATCCGTGACGGTCGTCCAGGGCACAGCAGGCATGGCATATTCTCGACACCATAGGGGGTGCGCAGGGGGTGGTCTCTCACCGCGGCCGCTATCCGTGACGGTCGTCCAGGGCACAGCAGGCATGGCATATTCTCGACACCATAGGGGGTGCGCAAGGGGTGGTCTCTCACCGCGGCCGCTATCCGTGACAGTCGTCCAGGGCACAGCAGGCATGGCATATTCTCGACACCATAGGGGGTGCGCAGGGGGTGGTCTCTCACCGCGCCGCTATCCGTGACAGTCGTCCAGGGCACAGCAGGCATGGCATATTCTCGACACCATAGGGGGTGCGCAGGGGGTGGTCTCTCACCGCGGCCGCTATCCGTGACGGTCGTCCAGGGCACAGCAGGCATGGCATATTCTCGACACCATAGGGGGTGCGCAGGGGGTGGTCTCTCACCGCGGCCGCTATCCGTGACGGTCGTCCAGGCACAGCAGGCATGGCATATTCTCGCACACCATGGCAATGGTCTCTCACCGCGGCCGCTATCCATAGGGCATGGTATTCTCGACAGCGTAGGGGGTGCGCAAGGGGTGGTCTCTCACCGCGGCCGCTATCCGTGACGGTCGTCCAGGGCACAGCAGGCATGGCATATTCTCGACACCATAAGGGGGTGCGCAGGGGGTGGTCTCTCACCGCGGCCGCTATCCGTGACGGTCGTCCAGGGCACAGCAGGCATGACATATTCTCGACACCATAAGGGGGTGCGCAGGGGGTGGTCTCTCACCGCGGCCGCTATCCGTGACGGTCGTCCAGGGCACAGCGGTATCGGCGGGGCAACGGCCACCAACATCATTCTCACATGCTTCACTTCAGCTCTCATCTCTCCAGCCATCATATAAGTATGTGTGGTTCATCGGTAGCGTAATTATCCTTGTCCTTGCCCTTGCCGCTATTCGGCTGGTCGCCCGAGTCATGGTTGATGGCGTCAGCATTGGAAGAGGAAGAGCGCGGTTTGTACAGCTTCACCTGACGCTTGCATCCCTGGCATACGCGGTCTTGCGACAGCAGCACATCATTATATTCACAGCGATTGCATGCACAGCGAGACCAAGGGCGAGACATGTTGCGCGGAAAACCTCCTGTTTTAGTCGACACCAGCGGCTCTCCCTGGGAGAGCGTGGGTGCAGTGCCTCAAGCACCTCGTGCAGGCACGGGGGGCGGGCTGCTTGCCAAAATGGACTTGAGCCCAAGTTGCTTGAGGGAGTTGGAGGAGGAGGAGGAGGAGGAGGAGGAGGAGGCGGAGGAGGAGGAGGAGGAGGAGGTGGAGGAGGAGGAGGAGGAGGAGCAAGCAAGCAAGACCTGGGCAGCGGGTGTCACATGCGCCGTAGCTATGACGGGTGCTGCTGGTGAGATCAACGCACAACTCGGGCAAGCCTGTGGGACCATTTAGTCCAACTCGGACCCGTGAGGCCCACGTCGGCCCGAGGGCGAACCACACGTGATTCCTATTTGCCTTGGAAGAGGCGTAGAGCACTTGGGCCCATAACCTCCCCTGGTGGCTGGAGTGTGGGGGGAGGCCCCGAAAATGATTCGAGGCTCAAGGACAAAAATAAAAATTGACACTCACGACACCGCGGCAATGCTCACTCCCGTGATGCAGTAGAGGTCATTCTGCCCACGCGCACGGGTGCCTGCCATTCGGCAGCCGCATCGGGCCGTACGCCGGTGCACGGATGCCTGGACGGGGCCAGTCGCATCGGGCCGTGCGCCGTCGAGGCTAATCATCTCGTCTCCGTAGTTCGAGGGGTGGTAGTGCATAAGTTCCGCGATCTTCGTGCGGACGGTGACGTCCTCGTGCACGCCCAGCTTGAAGCGCTTGCCGAACTGCTCGTACAACTTCTTGTAGTCATTCTTCTTCTCACCGATCTCCGCGAACATTTCGAGGCACTTCTTGGCGAGGTTATTCTTGTTCGCGTGCCGGATCTTGTTTCGCTGCAGCGTCTCACTGGCAATGTTTAGCGGCAGGTACTCATAGTCAACTACCCCCTTCACGAAGTTGAGCTTCTCTGGCATCAGCTCGTCGGAGTCGTCCATGATTAAGACGCGTAGCACGTACAGCTTGATGTCGTTGCGCTGCTTCTTCGTTTCGAACAGGTCGAACTCCCAGATGTACTGCGCCTCGTCGTTGATCTTGCTGATCACGCGCACTTTGTCCGATACGAGGTACTCGGAGTCGAAACCGACTCCAAAGTGCCAGATCATGGAGATGATCGCATGCCTCATCTCTGTGTCCTTCTGCCTCCCCCCGCTGTCCGTGTGCTTCATCGCCTCCAGGCCGCCCTCGGCCAGAGAAGTGCCATGCCTGCCGTGAGCCAGGACCAGTGAGAGGTGAAGGTGCCGTTGATGCCTGATTCTCGCTTGGGCCCAGATGGCAGCTGGAGGAGGAGGAGGAGGAGGAGGAGGAGGAGGGAGGGAGGGAGGAGGGAGGGAGGGAGGGAGGGAGGGAGGCATGGGGGGAGGGAGGGAGGGGGGGGAGGGAGGGAGGAAGGGAGGGAGGGAGGGAGCGAGGGAGGGAGGAGGAGGAGGAGGAGGAGGAGGAGGAGGAGGAGGAGGAGGAAACAAGGAGCGGTGATCAGCATGGGGGGGGGACGGCAGGAGGAGTCACAGGAGGCGGAGTACCAGGAGCAGCAGGGGAAAGAGGGGGAGCTGGCAGCACGAAAAGGGGAAGGAGCAACGGAGGAGGAGGTCGCACCAAGCCCCCCCCCACAACGCGACTTCGCACAGCTGCGGTCGACGCCTCCCCGCGCCACCTCGCTGGCGTCGCTGGCCGCCAAGGGCAGGCCAGCGGCGGCGGTGCTCGAGGCTTGGCGCCAGCGGCGGCGAGGACGGCGACGCCCACGGCGGCGGCCGCGGCGGCTCCCTCATAGTTCTCCTCGCCTCCGTCCTCCGCCCTCCCTCTCGCTTCCTGCCATCCCTCCTGCCCTCCTCGCCCTCCCTCCTCGGGTCCCTCTCTTCTCGTCCTCCTCCTCCTCCTCCTTCTCCTCCTCCTCCTCCTCCTCCTCTTCCTCCTCCTCTTCCTCCTCCTCCTTCTCTTCCTCCTCCTCCTCCTCTTCCTCCTCCTCCTCCTCCTCCTCCTCCTCCTGGCGAAGATGACAGTGGCGGGGACGAGACGACGACGTTTCATTGTTCGTTGGCCTTAGAGGTTCGGGGCTTCCTCAAGGCGCCCCGTCCCAACGAGGGCAGTTCGATACGTGACGCTCAGCCGCGGAGCAATTCAGCTCTCAGTCGTAATCTGCCTTGCCGCTTTCACTGCCAACGCTCCCTGACGACGACAGACGACGCTGGCGATGCATATCGACATGACCCCAAGATGCGGCAGGTACTGTGTGTGCGCCCCCCCCAACGGGCGACGCGCGCTCCGAGGAATCTTCTGGTGTGCGGGTCGGGCCGCACGCCTCCGAGGGGGATAGTACTAAGTGTGTCCTTCTGCGCCCCAGACAGCGACAGGTGACGAGCGGTGAGCGATGAGCGATGAAGGACGACGGACGCTGGCGGCGGCGAAGACGGCCGCAGCGGCGAAGACGGGCGGCGGCGGCGACGGCGACGGACGGCGACGGACGACAGTGGACGACAACGGGCGACGACGACGGACGACGACGGCGGCAACGACGACGACAACGACGACAAACAGCAAACGGTGAACGTCGACGTCGACGACGGCGACGACGGCTACGGACGAGCGACGATGACAAGGACGAGCGACGGCGACGACGATTACGACGACGGCGACAAACGACGACAACGCTCGAAGAGAGCCTTCTGCAGCGCCCCCCCCCTGCGGTTTTTCTCTGTAGGGCCCGGGGGGGGCGTTCCAGGCAGGCCTTTGCGAGAGCAAGGCTTGCATCCGTATTCCCGCAGGGGCATTTCAATTTCAAGTGGTCCCAGGCCCTGTCGTGGCTAGGCGTTCGGATTCGCCCCCAATATGTTTAACTTGAACCTCCTCCTCCTCCTCCTCCTCCTTCTCCTCCTCCTCCTCCTACTCCTCCCTCCGCTTCCCTCTCCTTCCCTCATTCCATCTCCTCCAGCAGAAGATCGAGAAGGCGGTACCAGTCACCCTAAGCGAGGACAAGCAGCTTGAGATGTGGGGCACCGACGATCTCATCTGCTTGAGCGGCTTGGTCGTTGCGGGCATCGTTTGGTAGGCCATCGCGGCCACCCGCTCGATGGATGACGACACGGATGAGACCTCGGCGACCTCGGACAGCGGCAACCAGCGGAAGATCTTGAAGGAGGCGGTGGGGCACGTCCATTGCCCAACCATGTTGTCCGAGGAGCAGAGTTTCGAGGAGAGCTTCGTGGACGTGGCCCGCGAGGCCATTTTTGCACGGCAGCCGAAGGCGCAGCTGCACGCCACGCTCATCAGCACAGTGGACGACCACACGCGTGAGGCCTCGGACAGCTGCAGCCAGGAAAAAATTCGGGAAGGAGGCCGCGGAGACGGACCGCTGCAGCACCGTGCTGCTCGAGGAGCGGAGCCTGGAGGAGAGCGTCGTGGTCTTGCAACCGCCCAGGCAACGCTCGCGCGTCAGCCGAAGGCGCGGCTGCGCGCCCCCTCCCGCGAGGAGGGGCACGGCGGTGTCGCGGGCCTTGCCCTCCGCCGCGGCAGGCGTCGGCGCGGGCCGTCGAGACGGGTGAGCACGCGACGGGCACAGGCGGTCTGACTGCCCGTCCTGATCTATATCTCTCGGAGCGCGTGGCAGCTGCCAGCACAACGCACAATACAGGCGCTCGGAGGGCAGAATAATCCCTTGGCACGAATCCCTTGGCACCTGTGTGCGTGTGTGTGTGAGAGAGTGTGTGTGTGAGAGAGAGAGAGAGAGAGAGAGAGAAAAAGAAAGAAAGAAAGAAAGAGAGTGTGTGTGTGTGTGTGTGTGTGTGCGTGCGTGCGTGCGTGCGTGCGTGCGTGCGCGTGCCAGGCCTCGTGCGTAGTGCGCGGGGCCTTCGCCTCCTGGGGCTTCGGGTTCTGACTCTCCTGGGTCTGGGGCTCCCAGGGGCGCGCACGTTTTCTGGGGGGCTCTGCGGGCGTTTTCTCTGGGCTTTCGGGCCCTTTCTGGAGTCGGGCCGTCCCCGCGGGGCGCGGGGCGTGGGCTTCCCAAGACCCCTCCCGGGTCTCGGAGAGCGCTCGCTCCCGTCGGTGCCCTGTCTTGGGCTGCGGTGCCTGTCACTGCACAGGCCAGAGGGTTCTGCGCCAGCTTGACCCTCAGGCCCGCACCGCAGGGGGAGGAACAAGAGTCCCCTCCCTCGCAACAATCGAGCATATGTTAAGGAACCTCCTTGCGAAAAGTTGGACCAGCGTTTTTGAATCGATTTGCCGAAGAGCTGGCCCATTTTCTCGAGTACGCTCGCCCCCAGCGTGAGCAGCTCGAATTTGCTCAGGCCCGTGCTGAGAAACGTGCAGGAAGCTGGCCCGGGTTTCTCGAATTATGGTTCTCTTGGTCCTATTCTCGGCTGTACCTCCTCCCTCCTCTCCCCTCCCTACCTCCTCCCTCCCTCCCTCTCTCCATCCCCACCTCCTCCCCCTCCTCTCCCCTCCCTACCTCCTTCCTCCCTCCCTCCCTCCTCCCCTCTCCCCTCCCTAACTCCTCTCTCCCTCCCGAACTCCTCCTCGCTCTTCCCTCCCCTCCCTGTCTCCTCCTCCCTCCCAACCTTCCTCCTCCCTCTCCTCTCCTCTCCCTACCCCCTCCCTCCCTCCCCACCTCCTCCTCCCTCTCCTCTCCCCTCCCTAGCTCCTCCCTCCCTCCCTCCCCTCCCTACTTCCTCCGCTCCCAGAGCTCGAGGATGGGGGGCCGGCCTCGCCCCTGCGCCCTCCGCGCCGGGGGGTTTCTCGAGGCCTGGCGCAGGGAGAAGCTCGGGGGCGAGGTGCCGCTTCCCGGCCTCCGCGCGGCGGTGCAGGCCGCGGCGGCGCGTCCTTCGTGGTCGTCGTCGTCGTCGTCGTCGTCGTCGTCGTCGTCGTCGTCGTCGTCGTCGTCGTCTGTATCGTCATTCGTCGTCCGTCGTCCGTCATTCGTCGTTCACCCCTGCCGTCGTCGTCCCAGTTTCTTTACCCCAGACGTCTCTGAAAGTCTCAGGAGGTCTTTGGACGACACTGGAAGCGTCCATAAGCCCAGAAGAGCAAAAAGCGCACAGATGCCTTGATCATCGATCCATGAACCTCGAAGGTAGCCAGAGTGAAGGAGGAGGTTGAGTAGGAGGAGGAGTCGGAGGAGGAGGAGGAGGAGGAGGAGGAAATACTGCGACATCTTGGAGGCCATCTTGAGGTTTCTGAGCCACGTTAGGAGCCACCTTGGACGCAAATTGACTCTCTAACCATCCGTCCCCCCCCCGCTGCAGGGGAGGAGGTAGGGGGAGGGGTCGGGGGAAGGAGGGGCTTGGAAGCGCTTGAACGCTAAACCACCTGCGCCAAGAGGGCTGGGGGACTGTACGGCCAACCCCGCACCACCGGCGATACGGTAGACGGGCTAACGGCGATGTAGGTAATGGCGATGTAGGTTTCGGTATTGTGGGAACGCGTGGCTCGCGCTTTCCTGCAATTCGCTGTGTCGTGTTCGCTCGATCCGTTGGCAGATCGGAAATGTAGGAAAGTGTGGTTCGTGATTTCCTACACTCTTGTTCCCAATGTCACCTTTGAGAAGAATCGCCGTTAGCCCAGCCTTGGAGCACTGGCGATCGCATCGACGACGACCGACGACGACGACGACGACGACGACGACGATGACGCGGACAACGACGGCGACGACGACGACGACGACCACCGCCCAGAAAGCAGCACCCGGCTCGCCACTGGTGGGTGGGCGGGGCGCCAGCCCAGGCACCGCCACCGCGCCAGCCCAACGCGCTGCCACCTGGGGGTCGTCTGCAGCGCAGTGAATCCTATACTTAGGTCGGGCATGTCCTCCTACAGGCGGATTTTGGAGGAAAAGTGTAAAATAGTCAAAAATAGCCCAAAACTATCAAAATGGCAAAAAGATCGTCACCTGATAATGGTTTGCTATTTTTGAATACTCTTCTTGCAGAGGGACACGCCCGACTTAATCCTATATTGAATTCCCCCCAACCAGCAGAGCTCGCTCCCACTTAACCAGCGTGGATCCAAGAAGTCCGTGCGGAGCGCCAAGAGTTTATGTTCGTGCAGATGTTTCTTTTTCTAGCAATCACCGCAACCGTCAGAGCAGCCGACTGCAACTACCCCGGCTACTGACGACGACACACTCGGTGGAAGGGGAAGCTTCATACCCGAGCACTGCCTGCAACGAGCCAGCGGCGTCGACACCGACCTGGAACAGGAGGAGACGTCAAGATTGCGTGAATCGCCCAGACCACATACAGGCTTGGCACCCACGAACAGGCTCACGAAGCTAGTGTGGCCAACAGAGGAGACACCCTCGTGACCACACGTGGATCCAACCTGAGGCGGAGAAGGAGGATGCCTGTGCAGAGCGGACAGAGGCGGGCGCCACCCACAGCAACACCAGAGGCCACACGCCAAAAAAACAGGCGCAGGAGGAGGAGGAGGAGGAGGAGGAGGAGGAGGAGGAGGAGGACGAGGAGTTTCCATCGCGGCGGCGGGAGTTCCGCTCGACTGCGAAACAGGGAAATAACGCGGCGGTGGCGGCGCCGACGGTCCCTGCCTTTGCCTCCCTTGCCTCCCGCCGCCCCCCCTGAGTTTAACCGCCTACCCGGTCTCAGCGGGGTCTGCGCCTTCAAGTCGGCCACGCAGGGATTGAGCCTCTTGGCGCAGCGCGCCCGCGAGGCGGAGGCAGGCACCGGCAGCCGAGGCGGGAGACGGCTTGCCGTGTTCCGTGGCACACTGCCGCGGCCATTGCCAGCCGGCCCGGCGGAGACCACCCATGCCATTTAGAACGCGCAGACCTACGCCGACGACCACGGCAGTGCTGAAGCGCCGCCAGGCGCCGCTTGGGCGCCGACTTCAGCGCGCCACCTACGACACGCTCGCAGAGCACAACCGGCGGACCGAGCATCTCACAGCAAGGCGGGCAACAGCCACCCCGTTGCAGCGGGAACCTGCACCCATGCCACCCGATCGTCGCCTGTATGCCACGGGGGCAGCCTGCGCTCTGCAAGGAGCGTGGACCACGACATGCAGTGCACCGACTACTGGGCGGGCCAGACGGGAGCCCTGCTCACGCGCAAGAGCCGAACGCATCCTGCAAGCGATCAAGATGACCACGATGGTCACCGCCCACGACCCGCTCCCTAAGATCGACCTCCAGCGCAACCGAGGGTGGGGGCGGGGGCAAAACAGCGCAGCCCACTTGTGGAGACCGCCTCCACTTCCCACCACCTTCGCGGAGGACCTCGAACAACCTCCAACTGAGGCCCGTGGCACGGCCTCCCCTTCCACCACGGAGGTGCACCGACGTACCACTCCACTAATATTTGCCGCCTCCCATGCTTCTCTTGCTCCGCCACATTCCTATCTCCACCGCGTCAAGACCAAACAAATGTGCCAAGACTTCCCCTTGGCTGGCTGGACACGCGCCGCCGAGGGCCAGCTGCAGCTTCCAGTTCAGAGCGCAGCTTCTCCTCTATTGCGCCCCAGACCACATTCACTACACGCGGCACCCACGGCGTTCACCTTTCAATATGACTCAGGCGACAGCACAGAGCTTGGCATAGTACTTTGGCGGAGCATCATCATCCACCTATTTATCAGCTGCGCTACGGACTCACCCAGCAGATGATGCAGGCAGTCTGGGCCACCTCTAACGCACCCACTGCCGCCTAGCGGCAGCAGGGCGTACCCCACTTTAGCCAGCATTTCGACAGCACGGCACCGCGGCGATCATAGCAGCACCGACTCCACTCCTACGCCCCCCATGTCATTTCGGCATCCATGACAGCGACCGCAGCAGCATACCCAGTACCTTGGCCTCAGCAGCCATTCTCCTAGAGTCCCAGCCACCTACCGCGACTCACAGACCCAACCGCCGACCCAGCTCCCAACACCTTCGCTTCCACCTTTCGCATTCCAGGGAAGTTTTGAGGTGACCGCCTGCTAGAGCTGGCCGCCCACACCAGAGAGGGAAGGGGAGGCCGGCTGCGATAGAATGTGGGGGAGGAAGAGAGGGGACCAAGGGGCCTGGGAGGAGACCGCGAGGGCGGCCCGTCTCGAAGGTCGCGCCCGCCTTCAGAGTCTCGTTTCCTGCACAACTTCTCGCCCGTCCCTCCCGCTTGAGCGCGCGCCGTGCACCTGCGGTTATTAGCACCGCCGCTCTCGCCGAGTTTCGCCACACCCCGCCCCTGATGCATTCACACGCCTGCCGCTTGAGTGCTGTCGCTGACCTCTCCCCCCCTCCGATGTCGTAGGAGATGGAGAGGATTCCCCTCTACCCCCTGCGACATCGAAGGGGCGGGGAAAGGTCAACAGCACCTCTCCATCCCAGGACTCCTGGCCTCCCCCCCTCGATACCGTAAGAGATAGAGAGGAGGTTGGCGAACCCCCACTCCGAGGAGATAGCGGTCGGACCGAGGTATAAGATCGAGGTCGATTCGGGGAGGGAGCCCTCGTGTTCTTCATGTTTGTCGGGTGTTTTTGTGCAGCCTGGGGGAGGGCACCTTCGAGTGATCTTCTGGTTTGAAGTGTTTTTGCCGGCGGAGGGGCTCACGTTTTCGAAGGATGTCCTTCTGTCCTTGGTCCGGCCGTGCATGCACTGTTCCCCCTCGTCGCCCCCGACCTTCCAGCAGGATCCCCCATCCGCTGTGTTGTCGTCCGCTCCTCTGTGTCTCCTCGCCGTCTGTGTCCTACCCGAGAGTTTCATCCCGCGGCGTTGGCCGAGGGGCTGCGGCTTCGAGGGTCGCTCCCCTGTGGGCGAAGGGCCAGCAGCGGTGAGGCGTGAGTGGGGAGAGAGGACGGGTTGGAGGAGAGTAACTAGCGTGCTGAGTTCGGAGCGCGGGGAGGATGGGGAGAAAGACCGGGAGGAAGAGGAATGGCGAGCTGAAGGAGGGAATGGGAAAATCAGGAGGAAATGCACGCATTTACGCACAGAAGCGTCGATCTCCAGGAAAATATGGGAAATATGGCAAGTGGAGGGAAAAAAGAAAATCCAGAAAATATGGCAAATATGTTGGATCTGGGGATTTGTGTCAATTTACTTGTGTGTCCTTGGGTCCCTTTAGAGATGGCGTGTCGCACCGCGGGCGTCTTTGATGGCAGCCGACTACGCGCAGAAAGGGGAAAGGCTAGAACTGAATAGCCCTGCCGCCTTCCACCAGGCCTTTTCCTCCCCCCCGATCAATTATGTTGTAATATATTGTAATACACTATGGCTTCCGTGTATATAATAAAACAGCACGCGAACCAACATACTATTCGGCATGGTAGCACAACATAACATATTCGAACACAACATCACATAATGGACTGTACCATGGTATAACACATTATAGCCTGTACAAGTATAGAAGATCACCATGCAATAATCCATGACATAAACATTCAAGATAGCATGGCACCCTGTAATCTTCCATCCCATAATAGACTATGATGTAGTACAAGAGTGTATAGCATCATCTGGTAGCATACCATACGATCGTACCATGCAGTACACGATAATGTGATAGGGTATGGTATACTAGACTGCATTATATAATTCCACGGTCGACTACAATAGAACACGCGGTAACAGCAGATAGCGCACTAGGAATATTGTAGCATCGCATAATGCAATGCAGCCGAATGTCAAATAGTACCATATATTGTAGTATGCTGCTTCACACTGTGGCACCTGATATTTGGCAGTGTTCTATCATATTGTATCACACGGTGGTATATTGGATCATCTAGTACCATGTTCTATTGCATGAACTTGTATCTTCAATCGTGGTCTATCGTTTAATGTTTGATTCGATCAGAGTTTCTCGTAACATGTATCATCTTAGTTTATCACATTTTAATACCTTGTAACAGCTAGTATCAACCTATACTCTATGTTCTGTGGGATATCATGTTGCATTACAACATGATATCAAACAGTATGGTAGGTCGTGTCAGTTTACAACATATATGTTTACATATATAGATCGTACCCAGGGCGCATGGTATTATAGTGTACCATGTTCTGGTTTAGTGTACGGTATGGTACATCATGTTCTTGTACTATTATATCATATGCTGTGACATAGCTGTGTTTCAATCTAGTATAGCTCTTGGCACATATGATTGTAAGTACATGTACAAGATTGAACATGATATTAATTGGAATAATGATGATAATGAAGAAGCCGCCCACCTCGCTCCACCCTCTGCTGCGCGCCGCCAAGCGATCCCGAGTCTTCGGAAACACCGATCTTCGGACCGCGAAGAGAGGGCAATATTCCCCTTCCCAGCCAGGCGCTCGCCACCACGGCACCCGAGCGCCTTATGGAGGAGGTGCTCTCGTTCCCGAATCCTCGAACACCGATCTTCGGATCGCGAAGGGGGGCGAGAATCCCCTTCCCACCGAGGCGCTCGCCACCGCGGAGCCCGAGGGCCTTGTGGAGGAGGTGCTCTCGTACCTGGAGCGGCCCGGGCTCTCCTACCTCGCGAGGCCCCAGGACGGCCTTCTCCCCGCGCCGATCTGCTGCGCGCGGACGTCGACGTCCCGCGCGCGCCAACGGGAGAAGAGGAAGGAGGAGGCGGAGGAGGAGGCCGATGTGGACGGAGGAGGAAGAGTAGGAGGTGAAGGTGCAGGAATATGAGGGCAGGAAAAGCGGGAAGCATTTGTAGTACAGCCCCCATGTTAATTGAACAGTTCGCGGTTTGGCTCAAGATACGTGTTGCTGCCTCTCGGCATCCTCAGCGCGAGCACACGCAGGATTGTTTCAACTTGCTACGAGTTAAGAGGGCGATATCCTCGTCATTATCGTTCTCGCAAACTTGCATGGTAGCGGAGCGAGGTTATGGCGAGACTTGCGCAGGAAATACCGAATACACGTCAGGAGTTGTACGAAGACTGTTTGATACATTGAGGAGGCAACTGCTAGTCTGCGCTACAGCAGGGTGGCTGTGATTCATCAAGGCCGCTCTCCAGGCCAATCACGGTGGCACGGGAAAGCACATCAGTGAGCAATGGCAAGCAGGTGAACGGGAAATGTCCAAATAAGATCCCCCACATAGTGCTTGCACTTATGGGTTCTTATCCGTAAGGGCTTCGCCCCCATGGGGACCCCCATGCCTCCGGCCCCCTCTCTTAGAATTATGATGTTCCGACCTACCTTAGCCTTGATCACCAGAAAGAATTTCGAGCACGAAACAAAAAGTACCGAAACTCGAGGGTGTTCGCGTGTCGGGCCCTGGGAGACACTCTTTCGACACTCGTTCGACACTCTTTCGACACTTTTCCAGGTGCTCGAAATTACGATGGGAGCAATATAATCTTAGAATGGGACTTCCCAGAGCTGTGTTGAAACGTCTGGACGCTGCCGTGAAGCAATGTCGTGACTTCACGCGAGGGACAATATTAATTTACAATGGTTTATGGCTTCGGTGGCGCGAATATCGTGTAATTTACGATGATGTATTGCTTCGGGGACGTGAGCATTTTATGATTTATGATTTTTTGCGGCCTCGGGGACGCAACAATTGTATATTTTTACAACGGTTTATGACTTCGGGGGCGCAAATATCGTGTAATTTACAAGGGTTTATGGCCTCGGGAACGCGAACATTGTGTACATTGCAAGGGTGTGTGGCCTCGGGGACGCAAGCATGGTGTAATTTACGAAGGTTTATGGCCTTGGGGACGCGAATATTGAATAATGTTTTAAGGTTTACGGAATCGAGGGCGTGAATATTCGGTAGTTTGCGTGGGTTTAGGGTCTCGGGGGCGCGAATATTGTATGATTTATGCTGGTTTTTACGGCTTAGGGGACGCGAATATTGCGTAATTTACGAGGGGGCAAGCCAGCCCATCGGTCTGTCGGCTATGTGGTCGCCGTCGTCGCCCCGTCGCCGCCTCGTCGCCCTCCGTCGTCTTGCCCGTCGGTCTGGCGGCTATGTTGTCGCCGTCGCCGCCTCGATTGCACGACATCGGTTGCACCGCAGATATTGCACCACATAGACTGCGCCACAAATACGGCCCTACATATATTGCACAACATATACTGCACCACATAGATTGCGCAACATAGATTGCACCACATATTGTAGTGGCCTCCGGCCAGTGCCGCCGATCCGGGACGCTCCGGATGATGATGATGATGATGATGATGATGATGATGATGATGATGATGATGATGATGATGCTGATGCTGATGATGATGATGATGATGATGATGATCATGATCATGATGACGATGACGATGACGATGGTGATGGTGATGGTGATGGTGATGGTGATGATGATGATGATGATGATGATGATGATGATGATGATCATGATGATGGTGATGTGATGATGGTGATGGTGATGGAGATGGTGATGATCCCGGCCCCCCCTCTCCACCTCCCCTCCTCTCTCCTGTCCCCCTCCCCCTCTCTCCTGGCCCCCCCCCCTCCTCTCTCCTTTCCCTCCCCCCCCTCTCTCTCCTGTCCCCCCCCCCCTCCCTCTCTCCTGTCACCCCCCTCTCCCCCCCCTCTCTCCTGTCCCCCCCGTCCCCCCCCTTTTCTGCCTGTCCCCCTTCCCCTTCCTCTTGTCCCCCCCTTCTCCCTCCTCTCCTTCGCCCCTCCCCCCCCTCCTCTTCCCTGTCCCCCCCCCCCTCTCTCCTGTCCCCCCTCCCCCCCCTTCTCGTCCTGTCCCCCCTTCCCCTCTCTCCTGTCCCCCTTCTTCCCTCCTCTCCTTTCCTCCCCCTCCCCCCCCCCTTCGCCGTCTCTCCTGACCCCCCCCTTCTCTCCCTTTCCCACCTCCCCCTCTCTCTTCCTGTCCCCCCTCCCATCCTTTTTCCTGTCCCCAAACCCCCCTCTCCTTTCCCCCTCCCCCCCCCTCTCGCCTGATTCCCCACCCCCCTCCTCTCCTCCTGTCTCCCGCCCCACCCTCTCTCCCCCCCCTCCCTCGTTTCTCCTTTCCCTCAACAATTATTCATATTAGAACTACTCTTCCCTCTTCCCCGATGACGTCTGGAATATTCGCCCCCCCCCCCCCCCCCCGTTTGTTTTTTACACACAAGGTTCCACACAGGTTCCCCCGGAATTGGGTTTTCGCCCGCATTTTTTTACCTAACAGCGAAGACTGATAGGTTTCTAGTGGTCTCAAAAGAGCTCACAGATCACTCCACAGGGGGGTCCGGGCAGGTGTTGGGGCGTTTCCGGGCGGCATGAGCCGGGCTCGTTTTTCACCAACAGTCACACACTTCGCGCTCTTCGCCTTCCCAGAACTCCATTCCCAGGCCACATTCTGGGGGGCCGGATGCAACTGTAGGCCACTTCGTGCTCTTCGACATCCCAGAACGCCATTCCCGGGCCACATTTGGGGGGGCCGGATGCAACTGTAGGCCACTTCGTGCTCTTCGACATCCCAGAACGCCATTCCCGGGCCACATTCTGGATGCCCGGAGCCAACTGTAGGCCACTTCGTGTTCTTCCATTTCCCAGAACTCCATTCCCGGGCCACATTTTGGATGCCCGGAGCCAATTGTAGGCCACTTCGTGCTCTTCGAGTTCCCAGAACTCCATTCCTGGGCTACATTTTGGATGCCCAGAGCCAACTCTAGTCCACTTCCTGGTCTTCGAGTTCCCAGAACTCCATTGCCGGGCAACATTTTGAATAGCCAGACGCTTCATATTCCTTCCGCCACAGCGGTGTTTGGTTCAGGACTTGCTAGTGACACTGCAGTCCTCTGCATTCAATTGGCCACTACATTCATTCACTGCAGTCCACTGAGTTTTGATTGCAATGGCGTTCCCCTGGCCGTACCCCCAGGTCCAACGTTCATCCGCAGCCTCTGCTCCGCGAGGCTCGTCCGAAGTGTCGCCGCCTCGCGGTGCTTCTCAGCCTGCGCCGCCTCGCGGTGCTTCTCAGCCTGCGGAGGAAGGTGGACAGACGCCTGGTTCTGGCGCTGTGCAGCCTGCGTCTTTCACGGTCGCCTCGTTCAATTTCGGGTTCGAGCAGGGCATGATGACTGGTAAGCAGGCGGCCACTCACTGCGCTAACTTCGGAATGGTGTGCGCCACGATAGTGGAGACCGCTGATGCTGATATGGTCTGTGGCTGCGAGGTCGGTGCGTTCCGTGAAGGCTTTCGCCGAGCAGGGATCAACGTGACAGAGATCCTCAGTAAGCCTTTCGGTGATGGCATTCGCTTCTCGGAGGTCGACAACTACTTGACTCTCTGGGGTTTCCGCGGTGCTTCTCAGCCTGCGGAACTGACTCTGTGCGAAGACAGCAAAGTTTACAGGCCTCCTAGCGGCCGAGATATTGATGCTGTTATTTCACATTTTTAGGTGAACAAACCAGGCCATGACAAGTTCCACGTGGTGATCGCCAACATGCACATCGTGTGCGGCAAGAAACCGCCGAGCATCCAGACTCGAAAGCGGACAGTTCGCCATCTCCGCTTGCTCCTGGACGGCCTGGCCAAGATTCTTGAGAATCTAAACGAGGCAGTCGTTGTGCTTGTAGTCGGCGACGACAACCTCACTTTCCAGGAGGCGCGGGAGGCTTACCAGCGCGAGCAGAACGACGAGAAGGTATGGGAGGTCCATGCCACTCCGGCCGACCTCAAAGTCGACCACGTCGCGGTCTGCGGAGCAGTCGCCCGTTTCTGCTCCATTGCCGTTGGCGCGTCTTTTACGGATCGTGGCATGCGCAACGACGCACACGATGCGGTGGCGGTTGTGCTCACTCTCCCTGGTGCTATTCAGCCTGGGGAGAGCAAGAGGCGGAAAATTGTCGTCGAAAACGTCTCCGACGCCGAAGTCAGCGTACAGGCGGACCGCGAGTCTTCTGTGCATTGGGATCGGTCGCCGAGTTCTGCTCCTCCGCTTTCACCGACTTCACCGGGTGATCCCGACTACGTCGAGGATGTCGTTCAGAATCGCGCGGACGACTTGCACAGGGAGCTGAGGAAGCTTTGGGACGACAGGTACGACGAGGAGTACGATCCGAAAGTCATCCATCATCTCAGTCTCTTGCTTTTCAAAAAGAGGAAGTCCACGGAGCCAGCGGACACTGATCCAGCTGGCGCTCCTCAGCCTGGCTCGGAATATGACGCGGCCTTTGCGTCTCAGGAGGAGACTGGCCGAGCCATTCTCTCTGTCCTAAAGCTTCGACATGACTTTCTGCGGAGCAAGAACATCGACGACATGCGCTGCGTTCTCACGGAGCCTGGGCGCCAGGAATTGGTCAGAGTAGCTCGCGACCAGTACGAGCAGTCGCGGCAGCAGCGTGCGCTTCAGGAACGGGATATCGAAAAGGGAAAAGCGAAAGGCAAGTCTGCGCCACAAGGGGGCCATGCGGTTCCGCAGGGTCCTAACAAAGGTCCAGGCGGTAAGAAAGGTTCTCACGGTGCTTCTCAGCCTGCGGGAAAAGGTGGCCAGGCCAAGGGTGCAGGTCTGGGTAGCGTCGCCAAGTTTGTGAACGACCAGAAGCGTAAGCGGTGGCATCGCCATTTGCAACGTGTGGCCGGTACCAAACAGATCTGGGAGGTGCTGGCCTTCTCAGGGCGCTTCGACGTTGATTGGCTAACGCAAGCTTTGCAAGCTGATCACAGTGAGGGCCGTGATGCAGCAGTTCCCGAGGAAGCTCTGCGGCAACAGCGGCGCCGGCTGCACCACCAGAAGGCCGAGGCCATCGCGCGCTACAACGAGGGGAAGCGGCTTTCCCTCCATCTGTCTGCCCAGGCTGGCCAGGCAAAGCCGAACTTCACGCGCAGGCAGCTGGACGTGTTGCAGATGTTTGAGAGCGGAGCGCTGCTTCAAATCCGCTACCAAGCGATTCTGGCGTGCGGGCACGGCCGTCTGTTCAGGGGCGATGGCGACTACCTGGACATCGGCGGCAGCACGGGCGGTGGCTCCAGGCGCATCATCGATTCTTGGCAGCCGCCGGACTGGCGTGACTTCCTCCAAGACTATCAGGACATCTGAGTTTTGCAAGTCTCTCTGCCCGCGGTGCTTCTCAGCCTGCGGTCTGCCGCTCTCCAGCTGCGGTCTCGAGCAGTAGTGTTCGAAAGCATGCGAGTTCCTGCGGTGCTTCTCAGCCTGCAGGTTTCGCAGCCTGCGCTCTGCAGTACAAGTTCTTTTCAGCATGCGACATCCTGCGGTGCTTCTCAGCCTGCAGGGTTCGCAACGTGCGGTTTGCAATGCATTCCTTTTCAGTATGCGAGTTCCTGCGGTGTTTCTCAGGCTGCAGGGCTCCGAGGCTCTTCGCTTCGATGCCATTGTTTTCAGACACCGTATCTCCGTTCCGTAAACGTCTTCCAAGAGCCGCTCGCAACCTTTTGCAGCTGGCTGTCTGCACGCTTCGCCGGCTTTGCTGCGCGGACAATTTTCTCACACACGTCAGCGCCGTTTGTAGGCGTCAGAAAAACATGTAGACATTCACGAAGGGCTCAGTCTGTATATCGTCACATCATTACATACGCAGTCGTCGAACACATCGGTGTGCATTCAGCGCTTTGTCCTTCTACAGCATTCTTTCCGTTGATAACAGTGTTCTGATGGGTTCGCTTCGTTCTAAAAGCGTTGATAGCAGTGTCTCGTTTGCGGACAACTCATTCTATATCAACTCACTGATACCGAGTTTCCTTTCACCATAAGTGAATGCATACCAGTGTATGTTGTTTACTACAAAAGTGGGTTCCTACAACCGACTTCATGATCGCTATCATCATCGCAGATTTCACTCATCCTCATCACCACGACTGGTTCACGTTGGCCTGCGGTGCTTCTCAGCCTGCAGTTCCTTTCGTTACACTGTAGTTGAAGCCGTTCATGGCAGTGACTCGTTTAAAGACAACTTTAGTATTGGGGGAAGTGTCGATAGCAGCGTTTCTTTTACTTATACAAGCGTTGATAGCAGTGTCTCGTTTGTGGACAACTCATTATATATCAACTCATTCATACAGAGTTTCTTTTCGCAGCAAGTGAATGCACAGCAGTGTATCTGCATTACTGGCCCCCACTCCATTATCACTATCATCATCAACGATTTCCTACACGAGTGTGCGCGGCGGTCGCCATGAGTGAATAGTTTGCAGAGACTTCTCGCATTGATACCCATGGGTCACTTCAGAGTGAACTCATTTGTGATCTTCTTTCATTGGAAGTTGAATCGGTTGATGGCAGTGCCTCGTTTAAACTCCACTTTGGTATTGGTAGTAGTGTCAATGCCAGCGTTTCTTTTTAATTGTGCAAGCGTTGATAGCAGTGTCTCGTTTGTGGTTAGTTATAACAGCGTTGACAGCAGTGTCTCGTTTGCGGACACCTCATTGTACATCAGCTCGCTGATACCGGGTTTCCTATCAACACCATCATCATCATCCTTAACCATGTTTGCTCGAGTTTCACCTGGCCGTCCAGCCGCGGCGGTGCTCCTCAGCCTGCCTTGTCACAATGCCAGCACGCGGCAAGGCATCGCCCCCGCCACCCCCGGCCCCGTGCGATGGCCCGTGGGAGATCCTGCCGGATCCGCCCGCACCGACTCCTCAGCCAGGTGTCGACGTGGTCTTTGAGCAGGCTCACCTCGAAGACATCCGCCGTACACCAGGGATGGGCGGCAAGACCGCCTGCCAGTGGCAGCGCGCGCTGCGCGCCGAGTGCATTGTCCACAACTTGTCGTTCAAAGACGTAACAAACGACCCGTCCTACGACTGGAAGCAACTGCTTCGGTCTGCCGCTCCGGGTTTCGCTGAGCGCATAATCGGGCAGGGCATCGCCCAGGTTCTCTTTCGCATCATCGAGACAGAGCGCGACCCTAACTACTCCAACACGGATGCCACGGCAGGCACTTCTTCGAGTTCCGTCGTGCAGACGGTTCAGCCATGCGCCTGCATTACCATAAGAACGGCCGACCCGATGAGCCCACCTATGTCGGTCCACCACGCGCCGTTGCTCAGCCTGCCGTGCCTGAGCCAGGCGCTGCTCAGCCTCATGTTCCTCGTGGCGGCGCTGCTCAGACTGCCGTGCCTGACGGTGGCGCTGCTCAGCCTGCCGAGACTGGCGGTGATGCCCCACTGCTCTTCACACAGGAGCACCTGCAAGAGGCAGCCTGCTCGCGCCAGATTGTGGGCCGCGACTAAGCCAGCGCCGCTCTCCAATCGCTGTTGCACTACCACCATGGCGAGACTGCCCCAGGTGCTGTTGACATCACCGATGGCTCAGCATTTGACTGGCTTCGATGGGTGGCACATATCGAAGGTGCGCGCGACGTCATCCGCAATGGCGTCCACAGGGTCTACGCTGTCCGCTGGAATCCGCACTGGGCTCCAGAGGCCGTCTTCTGCTACGGCAAAAACACCTACAGCACACTGGTGCCCCGCAAATCGCGCTACACAGGCTCGTGGAGCCACGCGCGAATTGTGACTCACCGGAACGCCAATTGGGTGACCGAACCGTTGCTATCTGCGGCCCCTGTGGCAGCTACGCCGTGGCTGGTGTTGCGGGATCAAATAACCTGGGAGTGATCTCTGGCAAACTAGATGTGGTGCTTCTCAGCCTGCACTCATGTGACACGCAATGCCGTGCCCTGCAATCGCGTGGTGTTTCTCAGCCTGCACTCGCAGGTCCTTCGGAGGTCAATTGTTATGAGTTCGGCACGGTCTCGGTCAAGTACATCGTGCTGTGGGGATCCCGAGATGGGGCCTGGCTCAAGGTGCTCAAGACGTACTGGAGTGTCCCAGAGCCGGAGTGCCAGCTGATCCTCGGGAGTTGGAACGGCATTTTCAGGCCGTGGCCGGACACGTTCTGGATCAGGACGGGGGGGTCCGAGCCCGAGATAGATGCTAGCGCTCTGCAGTACAATTGCTTTTCAGCATGCGACATCCTGCGGTGCTTCTCAGCCTGCAGGGTTCGCAGCGTGCGGTTTGCAATGCATTCCTTTTCAGTATGCGAGTTCCTGCGGTGTTTCTCAGGCTGCAGGGCTCCGAGGCTCTTCCCTTCGATGCCAATGTTTTCAGACACCGTAGCTCCGTTATGTAAACATCTTCCAAGAGCCGCTCGAAACTTTTTGCAGCTGGCGGTCTGCAGACGTAGTCTGTCTCAGCATGCGAGCTCCCGCACGCTTCGCCGGCTTTTGCTGCGCGGACAATTTTCTCACACCCGTCAGCGCCGTTTGTAGGCGTCAGAAAAACATGTAGACATTCACGAAGGGCTCAGTCTGTATATCGTCACATCATTACATACGCAGTCGTCGAACACATCGGTGTACATTCAGCGCTTTGTCCTTCTAGCTGGGTCGCTTCGTGCTGAGGCTGAGGCTGATGCAGGCTGAGGCTGAGGCAGGCTGAGGCTGGGGCCGAGGCCGACGGCAGACTGAGGCTGAGGCTGAAGCAGGCTGAGGCTGAGGCTGAGGCAGGCTGAGGCTGAGGCTGAGGCAGGCTGATGCTGAGGCAGGCTGAGGCTGAGGCTGAGGCTGATGAGGCTGAGGCTGAGGCAGGCTGAGGCTGACGCCGAGGCTGAAGGCGGTAACTGATGGGCAAGGCAAAGCCAGGCTGAGGCTGAGGCTGAGGCAGGCTGAGGCTGAGGCAGGCTGAGGCTGAGGCTGAGGCAGGCTGAGGCTGAGGCTGTGACTGCTACTGCCGTTGCCACTGCGACTGTCATCGCGAATGCGACTACGACTGCGAGAACAGCAGAATTCTACAACTGGATTCTCATCTGAATCTTAAGGGGATGCTTCCAGATATGCTCCTATACATCGCTGTTAGGTTGCTTTGCCGGGAT